GCAAATGCATTCAGAGCAAAGTATCTTGAAATAGGAATACCTGGGTTCTTTTCATACCTTTTTGAAATGTTTAAAAACTTCAGAAAGTTTGCCACAAAGATTATGACAATATTTATTTTCCTTTGTGAAATCAGCAAAAACTTCTCTGAGAACAAGGCTAACTGATAAACATGTCATGTCTGATGAAAGTTGGAACTGCACAGACATTTTGGCCAGACATACCAAAAATTGTCAGCAAAAAGAGGTGTTAAGCTTCAGGGCTAAAAGTGACTGAATAGTGGCAAATAAATGTTCAGTTTTGAACTGTTGTAATTTTTGTACAATGTATTTGTTGCTGTTGAAAACTGCAAGTATATGTTGTTGCTTAAGATTTTATTTTTTCATCAAGCAACTTCATTACTTTGTATACATGAATCCTGCTAAAACATTTGTATGCACATTGTGTGCTTTTAAATTTAAGTAACAAAAATATTCTGTAATAAATTTTATTAAATGACTCCATTTAGATGTAATGGGCACAATTGGTTGTCGTTTGTGGCCCTCATGATAACATGTGACCAGGTGGACCTTGAGGACACTCAGTTTGACATGCCTGGTGTAGACAATAAAACACAGTTGACTAAACCCAACTAACTAAAAGTGATGCAATCTCATCATAATCAGTGGCAGACTGGCTAATGGACTCTTTATAAAAAAAGAAATGCAATAAAGAAACACAGACAACTGTTTTAGGTATAAAAAGGAATAAAAACTTTATCAAATCATTTGCACATTATCAGTTACTGAAGTCCAATGTGAGAGGACATTTTCAAAGCTAAAGATTATAAAGACATTGCAATCATATATGTTTCTATCCAATGAAAAGAAATTAAATGCATTTAATTGTACCTTCTTTTTCATATGTATTTTTTGAAAATTTTATTTATTTGTCATGAAAATTAAATGATAGCATTGTAGTTATGGGTAAGCCTCCTTTGTCTCCTGGCAACCAATATTTTTAAACCTAGTCTTACATTGATCACAATATTTTTAGCAAGTACACCTCCAGCCTCATTAAACAATCATATTACCATAATTGAAATATTGTTACTATTTTATCAACTGCTACTTAATTGTAATTAGGTTGAATATAATTGCTTATTGCATGTGAATCTTGCAAAATAATAGGCAGAGTTATCTTATTTAAATTATTAGTTGTCATTCTTAGGTTTTCTATGAATAATTTGGTAATATAGTAAATGTGAGTTCAATCCCTGGGCCAGGTAGTACAGACTAGGATTTAATGGCAACTAGGCAAACAACTGATCAAATAGGAACAAAACCAAATATCCCTAGAGATGGACAGCAGATTGAGAACAATCTACTCACCTTATATTAAATAAAGAGTTTAGTTTAAAATTTCCTGAAAGTTACCTGGATTGACAGACATCTGAAGAAGGTCAGAGGTCAGAACAGTCAAAATGTGATAACAATAGAGATGAGGACATTAGTCTGAATGTGTATATATATTAAAAAAAAAAAAAGAAATGTCCTCAGTTCCAAAGCATGCAGTCATTCTTGGATAATTGAACAGCTTTTACTTTTTTTGCAATATAAAATAAAAACATGATTGATGTGGTATATGGTTATTTACTAATCCACTAAACTAGTGACTTGGGCTATGTGATAAATTTGGTAACTGGCTGAACTGATCATCATACCAGGCAAGAGGTGTTCTAATTTAGCTTATTATGGTACATGGTCACATTACTAGGACACCCATTGGAGATTTAACTTCCTAAACTAGTAAATTAGTCTGAGAAGTGCTTGTTAACTATTACACAATTAATTGTAGTCATCTGAAATAAAATGTAGGTATGTGTGTATGTGAATTCTACATGGTAGGTAATTTAGGTAGGTAGCAATTCTCTTGTCATTATGAATGCTATAAAATTTAAGGTAGGAAAAGTTGATTTACCTTTCTAAAATAAAAATCTTGCTCAACAAATTTAGTTGATAAATACCAAGTAAAACTAAAAGTGAAATTAACTTTTAAAATTCTGTTTTAATTTTGAAAGTCTTTTTTAACTAACAAACCTAATAATATATGTAATAATATATATAGCAATAAATTTGATTGTACATATATATGCAGAGTGAATTCTATTGTTCCCTTTTCAATGGAAAGGAACAAAGCCTTTTATTTTTGTTGTATGGATAAACTTCATGTTTATAATTTTATTTGTAACTAGTGTTATGTTCTTTAAAGGCTAAGGTGGGATTTTAAATCAAAGCCCTGCATTTTTATCTTTGTTAATGTTTTTTTTCCTAAGGACATTGATTTTGACAATTAGAGTTGGTGAATTTTTCTAACATGAGGGACTTTAGTTATCTTTCTTGGAAAAACTTTTTTTTTTTTTTTTTTTTTTTTTTTTTTTTTTAGAAAAAATTCATGCTTAAAGTTATTTTGAAACTGGCAGCCCAATTTGACTGGAAATTGCTTTATTCTCCAAGTTAGACCATTTTAAGAGTATTGCCCTAACAAAAATTGTGCTACTATGTACTGTTTTTGCTGTATTACTGTAGCAAACAAAGAAATCAGATGACTATCATATACAGGGTGCGATGGATAAATTGTCATGTAAATTACGCAAAAATGAGAATAACACTGACATCTCATTTTACCAATTATATTTACCAAAATTATGCAAAAATATCTTGCATTCTGGGGAGTGAGGTGACCAGATGTAAGGGGTGATGTGGTCGCAGAAATTGTTTTTCAGCCATGACTGGGTTCTCCTGCTTGTGTGGCATGGTGCAGAGTCCTGTTGCTTGATATAGGGTCTTCCAGCAGCCACCCTCTTGACCCAGGGCAGCACTATCTCCACAAGGCACTTGATATAGGCCTCCAGGTTGAGTCTGAGGCCCTCACCAACAAATTCAGGAGTTCTTTTTTTATTAGAATGATCAGAGTGAATTTTCTGAGCTGCAGTACCTTTGTAATCACCATTAGACAGATCCAACTCTTTCCAAATCTTCTGCACTGTCCTCAGATTGACACCCAAACACTGCGAAATGTTTGTATTTGTGTTGAAATGTGTCACTAAACAAAATAAAAAATTTTGTCTCTCTTTCTCCTGTTGTCGTAGCGACGGGCACAGTCTCCACTTCTGAGACAAAAACTGCCCTCCTTCTCATTCCAGCCCTTTACATAGAGCTTGGTAACTCGCCTATGCAAAACACCAACAAGCCAGCTACCAATCACAGTTCCCGTGCCTGCCCACCTCCACTCGTTTTGGGGGTGTCAAGTTGACTGACCAACTCATTACACGCCCCCCTGATCTTAAGATCACAAAGCTCCTAAGTTCGAGAGATGGTCGTGTCTGTCTGGTGACTGTGTCTGCATATATACAACTTGCACGCTTGACATATTGGGATGATCACACATGCACAAACTCGCTTGCTCCGAGGTGGCAGATTTCCAGATTCATCCCATGTCCTGCTGTCATGGTCGCACACCATGCAACTCGGGGCAGGCCTCTTCTGCTGGGCACTCCTTCTGAGCGGGATAACAGGGTCCTCATCAACGGATGAACTCTCATCCGTTGAGCTGCCATCCACCTCAGGACAGCTAGCCATGTTGACATCCACAGGTAGAGTACTGATGTTTGAGGCAAAACTCGGTGGATCCAACTTTAAATACACCACTCGCGCACCATCTTCAGAGTCACTTTCATCATCTGATGATGATTTTAACCCTACAATTGGCCGCAAGTCTTTAACATGATGAGGTACGTCATTGACCCGCACTGACCGCAGGCTGATAATCTCGGTAACATGCCCCATTCTAAGCTTGTCCGTACACTTGCTGTGCGGGGTCTTAACCCACACAACATCACCAATTTTTTATTTTGTTTCATGACACATTTCAACACAAGCTATTTCGGCAGTTACTTTGTCTCTAACAAGATGGCGGAAAGACCGTTCGACATAAACCTGATCCCCAAATTCAGTGGTGATATGAGTGGACAGTCTGTGGTTGAATGGATCGAAAATGTGGAACTGGTCTGCGAATTATGCGAGATCACAAACAGTTCTCGTGCCTTCCCACCACCACTCACTTTGGGGGTGTCAAGTTGACCGACCAACTCATTACAGTATTGAAGCTTCTGGCACAAATGCCAAGCAGTACAGCATGCCGTTTCCAAATTTCTGGAAGAGTGAATTGTGTTATGGAGCTCTTTTTCTCATAGATGGTGCCCAACTGACATACTATACTGACATACTATACCGTGCAGCAGACAAAATCAAAAACAAATAATGTGCATGCACAAAATTAAAAATATAAAATGTCGACAATTTAACCATATGTATATTATCACTTGAAATTTGTTTTTCTTTTTTTGCGCATTTGTTTTTGTAATAAGTATTATAGTATTCTTTTCAAGTACTTTTTACAGTTGTATATCAAAATTCAGGTTAAGTTCTTTATTCATTGAAAACATCAGATCATCTGAATTGTCATCTTTGTTATTTATACACAATATGGTTTAATGTTTTTTATATACTTATTTTGTTAATACTTATACACAATATAGTTTAATATGTTTTTATATACTTATTTTGTTAATACTTATACACAATATGGTTTAATATGTTTTTTATATACTATACTTATTTTGTTAATACTTATACACAATATGGTTTAATATGTTTTTATATACTATACTTATTTTGTTTTTTATACACAATATGGTTTAATATGTTTTTATATACTTATTTTGTTAATACTTATACACAATATGGTTTAATATGTTTTTTATATACTATACTTATTTTGTTAATACTTATACACAATATGGTTTAAACCCAATTTTTTCTTTTTTCCATAATTAACAGATCTGAATTCTTGAAAAATGACTTCCCCAGATACATTATTAATACGTCATTTGCCAACAGAGTTGAGCCATATGGACAAAAAAGACTTGTTATACCATTTTGGTGCTGTTAGAGTCAAAGTTATGGGAGGTTCAATGGTAAGTAATCCAATTTCAGATGTTTGTGAACTTTTTTTCAGTTCATAGTTGGTAGAAAATGTATAAAAGTAAGCAGCTTACAAAATTAATTTTTTTAAAGGGGATTTTTAGAAATATTTTCAGATTTTCTACATTAAAAAGTGAATGTCTATAAGCCAAATAGTAATAATTACCATTATTTTCACTATTTTCATTTACTGTTATCCTCATTATTGTTACCCCAATGTTTCAGCCATTGTGTCTTCTGGCATTTGTCAGGCGTATGTTGAACCTACAGGGAATTTCAAACTGAACCCTTTATTTGTTCTATGGTGGTAGATTGTTCTCATTCTACTGTCCATGTCATGGGATATCTCGTCTAGTTCTTATTTTAGTTCTGCTCACTTATTGCTCCCCCATTTCTACATTTTATTTTAATCATTTCACCTCAAGCAAAGCAATAAAGCCACTAAGATGCAAGCGGTTACTGAGTGTGAGAGAATATGTAAAAAAAGGCATTATTAAGTAGCGAGAACAATAAAAGCACAGGAATTAAAATGACGGAAGATAATGATTGATGTTGCATTTAAATTTTTGAAGATCAAAATTAACTAGAAATCAAGAAGTCAGAAGAGACGTACACAAGTGAGAAGTGCAAGAGAAAAAACTGTTAGCATAGAACTTACTGTTACATCTAGTCATTTCAACTGTAAAATGATGAGACCCTGTTGCCAATCTAGTACTTTGCTTAAATTCATAAAGTCTAGGTATCAAAGAGAAAAGTTCATCAGAACAATTACCATGAAAATTTTTATAGAAAAGGCAGAGGGAATTTAAGTTATGGTGGTGGCAAAGTGACTGAAGTCAAGATGCCAGATCAGGACCAATAATATTACAGAATCTTCTTTTGTATTTTATCAAGAATCTGTAAATATATAGTAGAAGCACCAGATCAGATGTTACAGCAATATTCAATGCATAGACAAATGGTAGACTTAATAAATGTGTAAGATAGATGCTGGCTAGAAACATTATCTAGTGTGGCAGAGTGAACTAACTTTCCTAGCAGCAGACCTGATTATATTGATTCAATATAATTTTTCCACTTCAAGTCAGTTGAAAATGTTAGTTTGAGAAAGTGCAAGGAGTTACTCTCCTGGACGTTAGCATCAGCCATGCTAATTGAAAGCAAAAAAGTTTTCTCTCAGATAATTAAAAGAGAGCAGTTTTGTTTTGGAAGTGTTTAAACTAAGAAGCCATTAACTTGGTCCAAATACACTGCCAAGGCCAGGTATTGAACTCATTTGTTTAAACTAAGCAAAAAAAGTTTGACAAAAATTAAGTAAATTTTGTTGCAATCTCCAAATTTTTCCTCATAATCTAATTTCAGGAGTAGTGAATGAATGGCAAACTTGGACCTTCATGTCCACAAAAAAATGGAATGTCACAAAGACAATTTTTCCATTGACACTGTAATTATTTTAACTACCTTCACTCCTCACCAATGTTTATTGCTTTAAAAAGTGTTGATTAGAATTGTAATAAAACCTCAAGCATATGATGAAACTGAATTTATACATTTTTTTTTTTGTTTTCAAGAATTTGCAACAAAAATATTAAACACTATTTATTACAAGGTAACCAGAAAAGTTCTGTCCGTTTTTTGATTAGTCATTGAATGAAGTTAAAATATATACGAAATGCGTGTAGCAATTGTTTTCAAATTCGGACAGCTGGAAGTAGGAACATCAGACGTTATAAAAAACATGCACACCATGCCCGGCCATCAGTGATAAGCCGGACAGCTGTGAGAAGGATGGAAGTGTCTAGAGATCTCGTTCGGGGCTGTTTTACGACTTCAAAGTGGGCTTATCAGCAGCTGCATCAAGTCGCCGCATATGTCAAGCGTTTGGAGATAGTGCTGTGGATGAACGTATTGCAAGGCGTTGGTTTCGAAAATTCAAGTCTGGAGATTTGTCTCTCCATGATGAGCCTCACAGTGGACGACCACAGATCTTGAATGACGGAGTCCTGAAGGCGGCCATTGAAGAGGACAGTAGTCTAACGTGTGGTGAACTTGCAAGACAGTTCAACGTTTCCGATGTAACAGTTAGACTTCACCTGCACCGCCTAGGTAAGACGTACAAACTGAGCAAGTGGGTTCCACAAATGCTGTTGGAGGTCCACAAGGAACAACAAGTGGCAGCCTGCATATCATTGTTTTCTCACCACCATACCGCATCCTTATTCAATCGAGTGCTTACCAGTGATGAAAAGTGGGTTCTGTACCAAAACTCCCAAGTGTTCCAGACATTGGTTGTCTCCTCAGGATGTTGTCCCTCACACCGCAAGACCGCCTATGCACCCACGTAAGATTATGCTTTGTGTCTGGTGGACAGGTCGTCAAGTGGTTCATTATGAACTGCTACCAATGGGCCAAATGGTCACTGGAGACCTATACTCGCAGCAATTGAAATGTATGCAACAGGCATTGCACCAGAAGGAGCCAGCACTGATGAATTGCAAAGGTGTGCTTTTCCTCCATGATAACACCAGGCCGCATGTTGAGCGAGTGGTCAGGGATACCATACAGCAACTTGGGTGGGAGACTTTGTGCCATCCACCTTATTCACCTGACCTTGTGCCATCTGATTACCACTGGATAATCATCTTCATGGGAAATCCTTCACCAATGAAGCAGACTTGCGCAAAGCCCTCATGGATTTCTTTGTGTCAAAACCCCCCCGAGTTCTACCGCAAGGACATTGAACAGCTGGACACACGTTGGCAGAAGGTGCTGGATGCTGACGGCGATTACTTCGAAGACTCAATATAAGTTACACATACTGTGAAGCGTTTACTTTTTTTCCTTTAAAAACGGGCAGAACTTTTTTGGTTACCTTGTAGATTGTTTATTTTAATTTTATATTTATAACATTCAAGAAACTAATACAATTAAAACTGATTCAATACAGTGTTTATCATTTACCAAGAAAATAAATTTGAAAAAATATTATTAATCATAAATTTATAAACATTTACTAAATTATTAATGTGAACTAATTATAAATAAATCCTTATTATTTACCATTTTATAAAGTTGGAATCAATTAGCAATTAGCTGATGTTTTGCCAAACATTCCAATAAACAATATAAGAAATAAATAGTGTAAATAATCTAATAAATAAATGTGTGATTTTTGTAGTCAATTCTCAAGAAAAAAGAAAATGTACAAATTCACTTTCATATATGTAGATTTTATTCCAATTTAAATCATCACTTTTTAAAATAATAAACACTGCTGAGGAGTGATGGTAGTTAAAATGATAGCAGTATCAATGGAAAAACCATCCTTTTGACACTACATTTTTTTTGTGGGCACAAAGATCGAAGTTTTCTAATGGACATGAAATATAAAAAATCATTTATGTTTTATGCCTTTTTATTAATTATTTTTATGTAATTTTATTTTATATAATCTTTTGTATATAATGAATTTATAAATCAGTTGTGCATATTCATTTTTTTATTCTTTCAGAAAAATTGTGCCTTTGCTACTTTTTCTGATGAAGAAGAAGCAAAAAAGGTAAGAATAAAAAAAACATTTTTTTGTAATTTGTTTATTTTCTCAGCTTTGTTAAAAAAGATATAGTTGTAAGATTTTATTTTCCTTAGAAAATTATTTCATTTATTATTCTGATATATAAAATAACATTATTAAAAATAATGGATTTAACAGGAAGGAATTTAAAAAAAAAGTATTTATCAAATGTAAATCTTGTATAACATTTTTGCAATGTTATTAAATAGAGAAATGTTTTTATATAGTTTTTTGTAGGAAATATATTATTTTTTTTTTAAATGTTGCTTATTTGGAGAAATATATTAAAATAATTTCAGTGTTATATTGATTTAAATAAAGAATTCAGAAATAAATTATTTGTGTAACTTTGAAGTGTATTCCTTGTAAAGTAACAAAATAAAGATACTGTCAAGTGATCTGTATAAGATATTTGATAATTTGTAATGCAACATTGTTTTTGTCTAATATCTTTATACTTATAAAATTTAGATTTATCTTTACAAGTTCTGTGATTTTCCCATTCAAAATATCATACTAAGTTCAAGTCCTGTACTTTTATAATAGAAAAATAGTGGTAGTAGATAAACTAAAAATAAAGAGTTGGTTGAAATATTAGTGGCACAGACATTAAAAGAAAATAGTGCAAGAAGGAATAAGAGGAAGGAAAGAGAAGACATTTGTATCTCATTTATCATTGCAATGCATCTTTCTTCTTTTTATGTGCCATGTCCTTTCAGGACGTAGGTGATCATGGCTCTCCACCTCTTCCTCTATCCCTTGCAGCTCTCAACAAGTTCCTTCCTTCTGCTTCCTCCCCCAGACCACATTCTGTCATCCACTTGCTTAAACCTGCTAGGTATGTCACACATTGTTTTCTCTTGTCTCTCTTTCCTTCGATTCGACCTGTGAGTATCAGATTCTCTAGGCCCTCCTTCCTCATTATGTGTCCAAGAAACTTCAGCTGCCTCTTCCTGGTATTAAGTATAAGCCTCCTCCTTGTTTGGATCCTCTCTAAGGCCTTATTGTTGCTCAAATGCTCAGTCCATGATATCCTTAGCATCCTTCTGTAGAACCACATCTCTGTCACCTCGAGTCTCTTCTTCATCTTTGAGGAAATTGTCCAACATTTGCTGCTGTAAAGAAGAACAGATGTCACGTAACAGCTCAGTAGAGACAAAAGCAGAAAAAGAAATTGATTAGGATCTTCTTTGATTTGTTTTGGCCTAAAAGGTCCATGAAAAGGACCTCCAATCAGTGGTTAACTGGGGCAAGAAATGGCCTGTAAATTTTAATGCATCCAAGACAAAACTGCTTTCATTTAATCACTACAGAGAACCTTTTCTACCTACCATCAGGAGAGCAACACTCTACGCCTTCATGGTCGGTTCAAGTCACAAGTTCCACCTTTTCCATCTATTCTATCACTGATCCAGCACTGTCAAACAGGTGAATCATCTTCAGATTGAAACCGGCGTCCATCTGAAATAGCTTGTGTTTAGTAGAGGGTATTCTACTTATGTCACCTGTACCACTTTCTCTTTCTACTACACACCACAAGTGTTGTCTACAGAATTACTACTTTCCCCTAGCAAGCAATGTAACTGCTTATATAGTAAGCAGCAGATGTTGATACATTTGTAGGTGTGATGTCCATTTCATCAAATCATGGTTGATCTGCATGTGTGCCTCTAAGCCTCAAACCGGGTTTCCTGTTACAGTTGCAGCAACTCGTGCTTTTTACTAGGTAAGCCAAAGAAAAGAAAGCTGAGGAAAGAAATTGATTAGGATATCCTTTGATTTGTTTTGGCCTAATTTTTATATTTGGTAAAGGGTTATGAATCTTGCATTAACAGAATTTCTTTCTCTTATCAATGTGCTGATTGGGACTTGTTTTATGACTTCTTTTGCAATGTTCCTGTGGAAGGATATTTTTAATCATCCTATTCTTCAGAAATGTGCTAGTGAGATCTCTTCCTGGGTGAAAACTGGCATTGAAATATTCATTCCAGCTTGGAATACCAAGTGAAGCTACAAACTCACCTGGTTCTCACCTATTATCACCCATAGGAATCACTTCTTCTGGCTATACCATAGCGATAAATCTGATTGTAACAGATGTCTTTTTGTTACTGCTCATAATGAGTGCTTGCATGTTCTCAAGGAAGCAGTGTCACTATTTACTGATAGAATGAGACACCGTATAGCCTCTCACAAGTTTGTTTCTTGGCATTACTGGCAGCTTTGCCATATTGTGTTGAACAATAGCAAATCCTCAGTCCCTCTTCTCTACAATCAATTTGAAGTATTAACATCTATTGCAGATAAGGTAGAATTCTCTTCCAATTCCACTCTTTACTCATCAATAGTACCTCTGCCAGATCCCCCCCCCCCTTAGAATGGAAGCTTTACTGAGTGGCATATGCAGAATCCTGCCACTGGTTTCTAGCATCATCTGTAAATTAGCCAACACCCCACCCCCACCAAGCTAGCAGGTGTGATAAGATCCTTGTCATCCTAAAGAAGTATGCTGCTGTTCTTTCCAAACTTTACCACAAATGCCTCACTGTTTCTTGCTTTTCAGCTTGTTGGAAGTCCTCTTCCATAGTTCCTGTTTTAAAGAACTCTGGGGAACTCCCTGACCCCTCAATTTATCACCCTATTAGCCACTTATCTCTTTTTGGCAAAGTATTTGAGGCCTGGATCAATGCTGAACTAGTTAAGCATCTTATTTCGTACAACATCCTTTTGGGCAAACAATATGGCTTCCAATTTACCAGGTCTACCACTGACACGTCAATGGCCATCTTTGAAGTTATCTATCAAGCTCAGGCTGTGGCTCTAGATATCTCAAAGGTGTTCAACAAGGTTTGACATGCTGGCCATCTACACAGTTTTGAGGTGTGTGTGTTTTTCAGTAAATATTTAATGGCTCCTGGTACAGTTGTCCTGCAAGCAATATTTGTTGACTCATGTGAGCCTGGGCAAAAGCAAGACACAAAAACATGGAATTTAAACAATTAAATGCATGTATTAACAAAAGAAATTACATTAATGTGTACACAAAGTAAAGGAAAGGATATTGAAAACTTAGCTATTAAGAATGTGTGTGTGTGAGTGTGAGATAATTCAGTTGTTAGTGGACCAGGGAACTGAACATGTCCCAGCAGGGACACTTTTATCTACATGCTACATCTTGGAGGAAGAGGGAGGAAATGTTTGTCTTTTTATAGATATAAACAGAGCCATCTAACAAGTGTTTGGCAAGGCCAAGTGGGGTAACCCACAATACTTATTTTTCCCCAGATTTTCAAATCTAAATGTTAAGAGTGTGTATTATACATGAGAAGTAAAGATGAACATTTTTGTAGCTACGTGCATCAACACATTTAGAATAGTATGACTGAAAATATGTCAATGGTCTAATCTAATGTGTAATAAAGAGTTTAAGTCACTAATCAAAAACTGTATTTGTTAAAATTTGTTTCTCATCAATATTGAGCACATTTTAGTCTGCTTTGCTAATGTCCATGTCAAAGGTCGGAAATCACTGGAATTTGTGTTTGTTTATAATTTTCTTTTTTCTTTTTCTAGTATGACCATATTTTTGTCACAAACTTTTTTCATTTCTATGCAAACAAGCTTGTCCTTTTACCCTAAATACTATAAATTTTGTGTTTCCAAACATGTATAAATTCTTATTTTCAGTTGATAGGAACCAGATAAAAAATTGAACAAATGTTAAATTTAGCTGCAAGAAAATCTAAAATGTCCGTGCATATTATAAATGAGAAATTGTTTGTTTTTTTTTTTTCCCAGAATTCTATAGCCAAATATGCACCCCTAACCAAAGTTAGGGGTGTGTATTAGACATTAATAATTATGGTAACTCACAAGAGGCATAGTTTAATATATTTAGTTGCTAGTTTTTACAAAGAGGATGAATTTTCACATTAATGTTGTAATATGAGGGTTTACAGCCATATCACACTGAAACACAGGTTCTCATCTGATCACTAAAGTTAAGCAACATTAAGCCTGGTTGGGTGACTGCTTGAGAACACCAGGTGCTGTAAGCTTGAATGGTGTACTGGATTTCCGCTTAGAATGAGAAATTATTCACTTAAGCACAAATACCCTTGGGAAAGGTATGAAGCTATATCTTCTCCCCTCAGCTATGAGTTAAATAGTAGGATGTATCAGAAAATCATTATTTTCCCCCAAAATACTTACAATCCAAAAATATTTGGTGGCTTTAAATAAAACGCTAAAGGTTTATAAACCATGAAAAACAAACCAATCACTCAATCTATAATATGGGTGGCAATTTCTTGCTACTCTTAATTTTTGGTCTCTGGTGATTACTGAGACTTTTGTAGAAAAATGGATTTGAAAATTGATTTTACAAGGAAATAATAAGTTACTCATGATTGGGCTAATTATTCAGGAAATTGAAATAACATGAATTTGTTGTGGGTTATTTGAAATATAAATAATTACAATTATTTTCCCAGGCTCTCTTCAGGCTTCATCAATTGAAAATCTTTGACAGAATTATTGTAGCTGAGTATGCAAAAACATCACAAAAAGAACATTTTCCACAATATATTGCTGATGAAAGGTAAGTCTTTGGTAATCAGTAGAAACTAACACTTATTTTGTTTTTGATACAAAGAATTGTCAAAATACTTTAATTTCTGTCTGACTCCAAGTTCCCCACTGAGAATTTTCCCATGGAGCAATAGCCTAGTGGATTAAAGTGTTGGTTTGTGAATTTGGTTACAAAGTAATTGTGAGTTCAATCCCTGGACTAGGCAGTGTGTGTACTTAATCTAAGCAAAAACAGGATGGGAAATAACTGAACAGTATTAAGTAAGAGCTGGATGAGATAATCCAGGATATGGATAGCAGAATGGGAACAATCTATCCCCCCTTTGCCAGATTAAATAAAGGGTTCAGTTCAAAGCTCTTTGAAGGTTACTTGAATTGACAATTACCTGATGAAGGTTAGAGGGCACAACAGCACAAAACAACAAAGATGGTGACAATAGTTTCTCTATAACTAATATAAATAATATTTTAATTTATTCAAAATATTGTTCTCATCTTTGTTATTATAGACAAAAGATCAAAATTAGGGACTATGTGTATCGTTATTTGCTTATTGTTATGTTATTTTTATCGCTGTGACATTGTTTATTTTTTGTTCTTACTGAACCCAAATATTTGGATTTTATTATGGCTTTCAAAGCAGATATTTTAAAAGTATGTATTCACATATGATATACAAATATATTAAAACAAAAAGGGAAGAAAAACTAGCATAAGAAAATATATTAATTACCATAAAAGTGGTGAATCAAAACAGATTTACTGATTCTCTAATAGTATAATTAAAAAAAAATTTTTTTTTTTTTTTTTAAAGTTGTTATGCACATATATTTTGTCCCTGATTTAGCTCTGAAGAGTGAAGAGCAATAACCAGTTAACCTTTTTTGTTGTTTCTTTTTTGTTATATTTTTTGATGCACCACTTTATGGTGATTAATTTCTTTTTTTATTCTTGCTCTTCCTCCTTTGTACATATGTTTGGGGATATTACGTGAATATATAATTTTAAAATGTCCGTTTTTTTAAAAGCAGAATAAAAGTTTTTATCCCCCCCACACAGATTATTTAAATATGGATTTTACTACTTTATCCAGGGATTGCACTCATTACCACTAGGCGATTACAACATTTTAATCAATGCTTATATTCACTATGCCACAGCCCTAAAGGAGATCAAATGGTGTACTTTGGGAACTACCTTTAAATACAATGTCATATGCTTTTGACATTATGATGTATTTGTACTTATTGAAAATTTTTTGTCTTTATTTTTGAAATGAGGAATTGTTAGGCCATGGGAAATCATCATGATAAAGCAAGATTGAATTACCCTACGTAAGAAATACACATCTCTCATTAGGACATTTGGAAGTCTATATCTGCTAACTTTATTTTTATACATGAAACATAAACTAGGTTAAATGAGTGATTCCCCAATGAGGAATTGTCAATGTACATGATTTATGTAAACTGTTCTTCAATTGCAATTTTTATCAAAAATGGTTGGTAAGTCTTCAATTTTCATTCAGTCATATAAAGATCAGCAATAGACATTGAATAAAATAAAAAAAACTTGATTTATAATCAAGTTCAGCTTTCCAAAGATTCAAATTTTTTTTTTTTTTTATCCCTTTAAATTTTTGAAAAAATTAATTTTCCTAAATTTGAAGTAAAAAGTTTAGTTTTGATTTTCAGCTTTAACTAGTAGGGATACCTGGCATTGCTCAGATCTCTGAATAATAGTTTATTATTGTCAATTTATTGATATTTTTCAGCCATCTTACGGAAAATAATTTTTTATTAAAACTTTAAAAAATAAACTTTGCTTTTTTTTTTTTTTTTTTTTTTTTTCTTTAAGAAAATACCACACTACCAAAACCATGATGTGGGGAGGGGCTTAGGGGGCTGAGCATCCACATATTTTTATTCAAAAAGATGTTTTATTTTTCAAATTAAATACTATACTCTGTTAATGTTGTTTTCAAACAAATCAAATTGATTTATCTAAGTTCATTAACCTCTTTTCAAATTATTATTAATAAAAAAATGAACTTAAATTAAGATATATTTAACCATATTTAATCATTTTTTTTCAAGCAAAGTCTGTAGTGAGCTTTACATCTTTGAGATATTTTTAAGTAAATAAAGTTTTACTTTTAAACCTTACATTAGGGATTACTTTCTTTTTAAAGAAGCACATGTTCTCAATAAATTAATTTATTTAACTATTTTGAAAGAGAATAGAAGATACATTATGGTCAACATTAGTCATGTTGAATATTTGTTTTATGAATTTAACTATATTTTATTTTTTTATTTCGAAAAAATAAGGCTCGCTATAGTTTTTTTCTGTAATAAAACTTAATTTAAAATTATTTACTTTTTTATATTAGTTACAAACCAAAAAAAACAATGAAGTTTATTTTTTAAAGATTGAATAAAAAAATTATTTTCCATAAGATGACCGAAAAATATTAATAAATCAATAATATACACACACACACACACACACACACAACTGTCCTTTATATATGTATAGCTAGATAATAATATCCCTACATACATAAACAAAATATGTGTATTTAAAGTAAACCTATTATTAAAAATAGGTAATTAAAAATTTTCCAATTAAAAAATATCAAAAAAAGATAACTTATATGTTTGGGGAATATCTGATTCTATTAAAGCTACTGAAAATTCCCCCCCCCCCAAATATCTACAGGAATTTATTCTGTTGTGTTTGTACAATTTTTGTTTTGAATATTATGTATCATTACATATTTTTAATTTTAAAATATCTTTGTAAATACAAATCATACAAAAAAGGTGGGTTGGGTGTGTGTGTGTGTGTGTATATATATATATATATATATATATATATATATATATATACTTTATCATTAATTATTGTAGTTTTTAGTTTCAGCTAGACACACACACACACACACACACACAATTTTGTTTATTGCGATCAGAAGTGATGCCATGATAAGTAAAGATAGAATGGTAAAAATATTGATCAATTGAAAAAAATCAGTCACATTTCTTATTAACCAATCAAGTATTGATTATATACAATTATGTTTTTAAAGGTATCAATATCCATGACACCTTAAAATGTCTGATGAACAAAACTGTATATAAATATACAGGGTGCGATGGGTAAATTGTCATCTAAATTAGGCAAAAATGTAAATAATATTGATATTTCATTTTTAGCATGTGCAAATTTAAAAATATAAAATGCGTCAAGAGGATGGCTGCCAGAAGACCCTGTCTGGCAACAGGACTCTGCACCATGCCACACAATCAGGAGAACACAGTCATGGCTGTCAGACAATTTGTGCAACTACATCACCCCTTACATTTGGCCACCTAACTCCCCAGACTGCAACCCCCTTGATTATAATGTGTTGGTCATAGTTTAGTGAGAGACCAAAAAACTCCTTGTAAGACCAAAGATGAACTGAAGGCAAGGATTATTACAGTATTCACCAACTTAAACAAGGAGACCCTCCCACCAGAAGAGTTACAAGGGATTCCGAAGTCACCTGGAAGCCATGGTTGAAGCCAATGGCGATTTTATTGAATAAATTTATTCTTTAGTATTTCAAGATATTTTTGTGTAATTTTGGTAAATATATCTTTTAAAATGAGATGACAGTGTTATTTTCATTTTTGTGTAATTTTAAAGGACAAATTATCCATCATATCCTCTGTGTGTGTCTGTGCATATATATGCACACACATATGTGTTTCATTAAGGATGACTGACAAGGTACTGCGATTAAGCTTTTTATTTTATTTTTCTTGTGGCCTTTGTATAAGTGTTTGCTTTTCTGGACACAAAATGTGTAAAAACTGTCCAAAAGTTCTGCATGTCTCAGTGCTTTCAGCGATTCTTTTAGTCATTATCAAGGATGATTTTTATTTTTAACTGAATATGTGCTTTTTTTATGCATGTGTCTGAAGTTACAAGAAGTTTTATTTTCCAAACATGGTCAACACAATGTGGCCATGTTCATAGTTAATGTTATTGAGTGTTGTCTTTTCATTTTTATTATTAGTGCTTCCATTAGTACTTTTAATCATTTTTATATGTGGATAATGCTAATTATACACAATTGATTACTGTTTTTAAACACCTTGTGTCTAGAAAAGAAAACACTTGTACAAATAAAGAAAAATTAAGCAAAAAATTTAATTGCAGTACCTTGTCAGTCGTCTTTAACAAAACTTGTATAAAAGAGGACTTGCTGCACAAATACATTTTATATATATATATACATACTTTGAAATTAATGTCTATTGGCCTAGAGATTGAGAAGTCTTACTAAGGAAAAACACAGTGGTGGAAAGCATATTTTCTTTGGTAAGAAATATAAAGCTCTAGGCCAGTAGCTATTAATTATATCTACACAAAGATCTGTTTATAGTAACATATATGAGATGGCAAGATATAAATTTTTATATAGTGAAAGCAACATTGGGAAAAAATGTATGACAAAGTGGTAAAAGTTTTTTGTATGATGTATTTCATCCTTTATGACTTCAAAAAACATTTTCTCCACTTTGTCATATATATATATATATATATATATATATATATATATATATATATATATATATATATCTGACAGTCAATACAATTAATTCACATTAATATTATTAAATCTGAATATTAATCACATAGATTGAATATTATACAGTGAAAATTTCAGATTCAAATTCAATTACCAACAGTGTATCAGGATATATATTTATTGATTCATCCTTCAATAATTTTAAAGCTGATTAAAGCCCATCAGTTTTTTCTATTTTTTTTAATTGATATTTTTGTATTTTTCCATTTCAGAAAAACTTTAAAGGAAAACAAAAAGTCCATTAAGGAAAAAAAAGAAAATATAATCGAAATTAAACCTCAGGTGGACGAAACTTACCAAAAATGGGGGTAAGTAAAACTTTTTTGTTCATTGCCAAGGTATAGAGTGCTTATAGGTATAGATATATCCTATATCCCAACATTATACTAATTTAGATCACTTGTCACTTATTTGCTTTGAGCAACTTAAAAATTGTGAATTGCAGGAGAATCTGATATATTGATACTTCCCAGGCCCATGGAAGGTGTCTAAAAGAATGCAGGTGAGCCTTGGTCCCTTGTCACACTATCACGACATCAGCCTCCTTGGTGTCATTAATATACTTTTTGAAGCTATCATCAAGAAAATTGTTGAACACTTGAGTATAAGCAAACTCCCAAGTGACAAACAGTATGATTTTTGCTCTTCTAAATCCACTGCTGATGTTTTAACTTTTATCCTGCATAGAATCAGTGAAGTGGTTGGCAATAAAAACATCTTAAGAGTGATCACCCTAGACATCTCAAAGTTCTTTGATACAAGGGATTGCTACACAAAATTGGCAGCTATGGAATCTCTCGGAGAGTCCCCTCAGTTATCCTTCCTGTTAGGTAAGTCTACAAAGCTTGTCGTTAATGGCCAGTCCACTGAAGCACAGGAGATCAATGCTGGCATTCCTTAAAGCTTTCTCTTTGAACCTACCCCTTTTCTGTTTTATATTAACAATCTACCTAAGAACATTCTCAGATCCTGAATAAATATATATGTAGATGACACAACAGTGTATGGGTGCCCCTCCAAATATATGGATAATCAGCAGCTGATCTCTCTTTGATCTAATTTTGATAGCGCAATGGAGAAAGACCAGCTGGTATAAATTAATACCTCTGAAACAAAGCTAGTAACATTTCATTACCAGTGAGCAGACCCCTAACCTGCAGTAATCCTGACAAGTCATACCCTCAAAGAGGCTCCTTGTCTTGAACACCTACTGGTTCTAAAACTCACTCCTAACCTTAAATGGAATTCATATATTTGTACCATTGCAAAAGATGCTGGAAGAATGGTTGGTTTGTTGAATTGTGCTAGAAAACTCCTGCTGCCATGCTCTATATTTGCAAGAGTCAGATCAGACCAAAAAATGGTGTATTGCTGCCATATCTGGGATGGAGCTGCCCTCATGCTACTCTATCATTGTTACTATGGCAGATGTTCAGACAAGTTACATTCCTTAGCTGCACCAGTTCAGACCTTCCCAGCCTGGACCTGCTATGTCATGTTCACATTGGTAAATCATCCTCCTTCCTTTTGTATTCCTTTGATAAGGAGTAAGTTCCATCCAGGCAGTTCTTCTCTAGAACTGTTAATTTGTGGAGTAAACTCCCAAGAGGATGCTTTCCTGATAACTACAATCTTGATCTTTTCCAGTCCAGGGTCAGCTGATATATATCTTACACATCCTTATAATATGCACTTCTTATTCCCTACTTCCTCCATCCTTACAACAATTTCCTTCAGTAACTCTATCTTGAGTGGCCCTTGGGCCTTGTATTGAATAAACCCAAGAAGATGCTTCCCTGACAACTACAATCTTGATCTTTTCCAGTCCAGGCTCAACTGATATATATCTTACACATCCTTATAATATGCACTTCTTACTCCTTGTATTGAGTAAACTGACAGTATAAAAAATAACTCCTGAATGAATACTTCCTGAACATTACTATCTTAACCTCTTCAAGTCTAGGGTCAAACATTATCTATCCTACCGTAGTAACATATCTGTAGTAATCCATTTCACATCCATCACTGCCATGTCTTTGTCCTTGAATCTCATAGCTGGCTTGTTCAAACGTATTCCTTGCTGTTTGTAATCCTTCTCACTGTAAAGACAAAATCTGTCAGCTTTTATGTGTACTTCAGTCAGTTATGCAGATTTTTTTCATGCTCATCTACAGGAATTAGTCCTAAGAACTAGGTAATTTACATGGCCATGTATGGCACAGGCGATTTTGTGCCTTTTTCATCAGGGAGATAAGGCCACGTCTTATAATCTGCACTGTTTACTTACTCCTTTAACTCTCTTACAACAACCACATTTGGTAACCCTCTAAGTGACTCTTGGGTCTTGTCTTGGGTGAACAATAGTATAAAAATAAAAGTGAATGTATGTATATAATACTTAAAGTTGTAGGCAAAGTAAAGTTTTGCAAGTAGAAAGCTGAAAATTTGGAATAGTGCTACATCTTTTTAAGTTATTTTTTTATTTTTTTAACCAGTTTCATTCCATGCAAGGCAGTAAAGCCACTAAAACAAAAGGGGTTACTGGGTGTGGAAGAATTAGGAACAGAAACATTAATAATTAGCAGGAAAAAAAATAGAGTTATCAGGAGAACAGTAGATAGCAATTGACATTGCATTTAAATTTTTGCAGATTAAAGTTGAAAGCATAGATGCAAAAGGGAGTTTCACAAGCAAGAAGTGCGAGAAAAAAAAACTGTTAACATAGAACATGGCTACATCTAGCAAGCTCATCTGTAGATTGATGAGATCTTGATGCCAGTCTACTACTGTGCTTACATTCAAAGATAGTGAAGAGCTCATCTGAACAATTACCATGAAAGTATTTATAGAAAAGTCACAGAGAGGCAACCTTATGGTGGTGGGAAAGTGACTGAAGACAAGCCGTCAGATCAGGACTGATAATATTGCTGATTCTTTGGATTTTATCAAGGAGCTCAAGGTAAATAGCATGGGCACCTGACCATGTGTGGCAGCAATATTCTAAGCATGGGCAAATGGTAGACTTATAGATATGTATGATAGATAGAGAAAAGTTGTCTCACACAACACAGTGAACCAACTTTCTTAGCAGCTAACCTGGCAATGAATTCAATATAGCTGAGAACATTAGCCTGATAAGGTGTAATGAGTCGCTTTCCTGGAGGTTAGCATCAGCCATAATGATGGAAGGCAGAGAGGGACATCTCGGATGATTAATGAAGAGAAGTTTAGTTTTGGAGGCGTCAAAATTAACAAGCCATCTTTTGTCGCAGTTAACAATATGCCTTTTTCTTTATATTTAAGTCAAAAGATATTTATTTTTGTTTAATTTTAATAAAATTTTGCTATAATTAACTGAAGTAAAACAGATTTAAATTAATTTAAATTTATGTCTGTTTTTGTCAAGAAAAGTTACTAATGAGATCCAAATTTTCAGGGTAATGTGTTTACAAGCCAATCTGGATATACAGGTAGAAGAAGAATAAGTGTGTTTATTTATATCTTTATAAATTATGGCTAGATTGTAAGAAAAGCATCAATGTATCATCTTTTTAAATGGTACAGAGGTATTACAAACCATATTTTATTGTACCATTTCATTTACCAATGTCATACTGCATATAAAAATGGTACGTCTTTTTGTCTATATTTATGCTCAGTTTTATTCCATACTTTTTAATTTTTTAACTGTTTTTATGAATATCTGTCTGAAGTATTATGATTACTTGCATTATTTGGACTGTCATCCTCATCTTCATTGCTATATTCACGACATTTCGTCTGTTGTACACTTCAGCTTTCTTCAGGTGGAATTTCGAACCGAACCCTTTATCTTGTCCACAAGAGTAGATTGTTCTAGTTCCACATGTCACGCCTCTTTCTTTAACTCAGCTCTCCAAGTTTTTGGCTCACTTTTGGCCTGGTATTGAACTCGCAACTCTTTGGGTCTAGTCACTGGATCTAACCAACGTATTTATCCACTGGGCCATGTGTCCTTGATGATATCTGTGTATGAATTTTGGGGATTTATAAACCAGCAACCATTTTCCATTAATTTTTATAAAATTAAATTAGGACTATCTGTAAAATAAGGTCAGTTGCTACCTATTCTCCTTATCCCCAGAATCTTCATTTCCTCATATTCTTTTCACACACTTCATTCAGTAACCTTCTACTTTGAGTGGTTCTTTTTTTAATCATCTCACCCCAACAAGGTGATAAAGGCACTAAGGTACAAGGGGTTACTGAGAAAATTTTAAGGGAATGGAGGACATTAAAAAACAGGGTTTAAGGAGACAGAAGATGATGATGATGATGATTGACATTGCATTTAAAAGGTTGTAGATGACAGGAAAACAAGAAGCCAGAAGAGAGTTCCACAAGCAAAAAGTGTGCGACAAGAAACCATTAGCATAGAACTTACACTTCACAATTTCAACAGTAAAATGATGAGACCTAACTGCCAATCTAGTACTGCACTTAAATTTGTGAAAAGCTCATCAGAAAAATTTCCATCAAAATATTTATAGAATAGGCACAGGAAAGCTACTTTTCATTGGTGGAAAATTGACTGAAGTGAGATGTCAGGACAGAATTCTGATTGAATCAACATCCATTGATAAAAAGTGAGGAACTTGTATTTGCATTAGTGTACAAAATAAATAAGCTGTCTATATTTAAAAAAAAAAAAAAAAGAAATAGATTTAATTCTTTTAAGAAAACTTAATGTATATCAATATACTTTCAGTAGTGTTGTCTGTGGTCATTCAGGACTGTAGTGGAAATTTGTCACATTCACATTGGAACTGTAATGAGAAAAGATACAGATCTAAATGCAGATGAATCTTTAAATATCTGCAGTGTAATGATACAAAAAAATATTTATTTTACGCAACAAATATTTTCCAATATTCTTAGTCAATGCTCTAATGTTTATAGTGAATACTGAGCATTATACAGTGAAAGTTTCACCTCAAAATTTACTTAATTACATGTCTAGATACAGAATTATTGATCCATCTTTGTACTGCTAAACTGGTTATGTACTTTCTGATGCCTTATCATGCCATGGTTCATCAATGTATGGTTGAAATATTTCAGGATTCCATATTGTGCCAACCCTCGACTACACTATCATTATCCACCTCCAACCATGTCTACAATTGCCAACATTGCTAATGCTCTTGCTTCCCACCCAAAATTCTATGTCCAGGTAAGTTCCATCTTTAACATTTTTCATATGTGATGAGATATGTTCAATTTTATCTTTCCCAAATGTAATTTTCTTTGAAGTCTACAATGTACAGACTCTATCTTAATTTCTAACTCCAATTAGATTTTATTGATGAACTTCAAATGCTAATAATACAAGTCAATAATACCAAACAGTATTGTAGTTTTATTCTGGAAACAAAAATCTGCGAAATAATTTATTAATATCTCTTTTTTTTTTTTTTTTTTTTTTTTAAATTATAAAACTCTTTCTGGTAATTGGAAATTATTTTATGAAATCATTAAAGACATCATTTACAACCAAAAATTCTCTTAAGGAGAAATGAAGAAATATTTGTAAAAGGGGTAACTATTTGATATTTGATATTTTCTCTTTGCGAAAAAATACTTTATTCATCAAAAGAATCAATTGAAAAGTGACCAAAATATATTTTTGGAGCAGTCATTATCTCTGATTTAACCCATGAACTAAATTTCTAAACTATTTGTTAATAGGGTTCAACATTTTGTTTTATTTTTTATAACCAAACTGATAATTGAACTTAACATTGATGATCTTGGATTATGATAATTTATAGATTTAGTTCAGTGGTTGAGAAAAGGTTGATTCCTGAGAATTCTGAAGTTCCAATTGTAGAACTTGATTACTTACACAAAATATGTACTTCATAGACTATGGTAATAGGAAGAGATAGCCGTTTCCTTATCTGTGGTAATCCATTTCACATTCTTCACTATTCCTACTAGTTGAAATTTCTAAAATCTTTTTCTTAAGAATAGATTTTCATGAAAATAGGTTTCTTAAGTCCATTAACTATTATCACTATTTTCAGTATTGATAGGGGTTTCCTTAATCTTTTGTTTAAGTTAGTGTGGAAAGTTGATATCTTGACTGTCATTATTTTCTCTTTGAGTTACAGGTGATATCTATTTCAATTGTTGCTGCTGTTGGAAGTCAAGTGATGTGGTTTTTGTTCTTTGGAATTCTATAGCACCAGTCTATAAGATTTGACAAAAGACAGTCCTTTTCAAGAGCCACAGGGTTAATTTGCTTGAAGCCATTTAAAAAAAGACATTGAGTCAGATGCATTGTTTGTTGGTCAGCTGAAATAATATTGAATAGGAGTTGTATGTAGTGAATGAAATTATTGAAAAATTCTTACCTGATTTCTTTATGAATGAATTATTTGAAGCTTAAAACATTCTTTTTTGCTTGTCAGGTGTTACACTTAATGAACAAACTTCATCTTCCAGTTCCATTTGGAAATGTAACACAGGCTCCACCAATTGTAAGTACTTAGCAATATTTTGTTTTTATTTAATTTTTCTCTTTACCTACCAATCCTTATCCTTCTTATGCACATTGGCTTTCCTGTCATAAGTTACTTGTGAACCCATTGTTTGTACTATTGTAGGATGTTTTTCTAGTTAAACTAAAAGCAATGGCAAACACAATTTTCACATGTAAATGATAGTTCATCATTGTCAGTAGCGATGAAAGGAAATAGAATAAATTTCAACAAGGTGAACGATTTTCATGTGTTTTTTATATAACAATTGACTGATTATATTTATTTATTTTTTTTAATCATTTCATCCCATGCAAAGCGATAAGTCCACTAAGACATAAATGGTTACTGGGGGTGAAAGAATGAAAAGACTTTAGGAGAAAGAATGAGAAGCCCAATCTAAACAGGGAACAAGGGATAAATTTCTACACCTGTTCAAAAGACTGGGAAGGAGTGTGAACTTAATTAACAAAAATGAAAAAAATGGACTAGTATGTATGTAAATATAGCTGAAAAGAAAAAGACATTAAAATTTAGCAATTAAAAATCATGTGTATCTGTACATGTGAAAAAGTTTAGTCACTTTGTGGGCGGGGGTGAATATCTCCATACTGGAGACAGGTCCTGCACTGCTGTTGTCATTACAGC